TTTAACATTTATTTATTTTTTGCATGCTTCGGTCGCAGCCTTGGAGATTTCCAAAAATTGCAAGAGAAGGGAAGAGATGATTAAACGCCCACCTAGTTTGGACTACCCACCTTTGGAGTCCAGGCTCCGGCACACCACTTAAAAGGCAGGCACAGCCCCCCGCTCGGACAAAGCTGCGATTTCTGCCACAAGAAGCCGAAAGAACCAACATTTCTGTCCTTGAACTCTAGGGCCCGTTCCACATATTGATTATGAGCTCCTTCTCTGCGCTTTCTGCAGCCCAGAGAGAGAACGTGAAGCTCTGGGATGTGCTACAGTTTTGCAGAACAGCAGAGGCTATCAGTGGGGCAGGGGAACCGCGTTTGCTCTTGCGGGGAGAACCAGAATGGAGTCCTTGGCTTGATTTTCCTGTTTGTGCTTCTCGGATGGAATCAGTGGCTTTTCCCAGGTCAGCCCTCCCCAGAATAGCACCCTTGCGACACGGTAGGACGGTTGCACGTCGACCTCCAGCCTGCAGGAGTTTGAGAATTATCATCCCAACCGAGGGGAGGGGAATGCGTTGGGAAAGGCGGCCATTCCCTCTGCATGTGAATCGTGAACGATGGGAGTTGTGGTCCAGCACGCATGGGGAAGCTGCCTTAATTCACCTGAAGTACCATTGGGTTCTTCTGCCCTGAAAAAAAAAATCTTCCCATTTCTCCAATAGGTTGTCTTTTTCCACCGAGGAGATATTTTGATCAGGGACTGAACCTGTTTTGATATTTCAGCGGCAGCTGAGAAATGTTAAATTTAAAAAGGGGGGGGGGGTTCAAGAGGAACTATGGAAAAAGGGGCTCTTCTGCAGGGGTTTTGCTGGATTATTTTTTGGGAAAAGGGGGCCTTACCCTTTCTGAAGTAACAAAGGTTTAGGGTTAGGAGCATCAATATCAACTTTGCTGTTTTATTTATTCATCTGCTTGGACTCTGTCGTGCAAAGACTCCTGGCCATTTATAACTGCAGAATAATACTGTTAAAATGGAGGCTAGCAATGCCATAATCACACGTCACAGTAATACAGGCGGTGCACCGTCCTCTCCCATGTGCTGTCCAGAACAGCTGTTTTTAATAGTTTCTGGAAGGCCTTTAGGGTGGGCGCTAATCTGCCTTGGTAGGAATAACCTCTTAGTCGTGAAGGACCGTTGATTTGTTGAAAGATGTTGGCAAACGTAATTGTCCCAAGAATAAATGGGAATGTTATCTTTGGGGGCTAAACTAGGAGTCCCCAATGCAGTGTTTCTCAACCTTGGCAACTTTAAGATGAGCGGACTTCGACTCCCAGAATTCCCCAGCTGGCATGCTGGCTGGGGAATTCTGGGAGTTGAAGTCCACATCTCTTAAAGTTGCCAAGGTTGAGAAACACCACCCTGATATCTTAAATACATTGAGGCATATGCTTGGTAGGTGTGCACAGAATGCTACCATTGAGTTGTCTTGGGCTAAGCCCTAACCTAAGCTTGGATGCCTGGAGATGGTTTAGCCTTCACCCTGCCATCGGCTGCTCTGTTTGCAGGAGACTTCTTGCAGAAGCCCCGACTCATGAAGACGCTGACGTGGTACTTGGAGAAGCTGACTGTCCACCTGTACCCTTCCTTGGAGAAATTTGAGGAGGAGCTCTTGAACTTACTCGTGAAGGAGCAGGTACCTCCGTATCTCTATGTCAGAAAGGTCCTACATGCGCAAAAAAGGAAGGTGCCCAGAACTGTTTTTCCTCAGAACCTACGTAATTATAAGTACGATTGCAATTACAATTCCATTATTAATCAGAGCTCTTAAGCTCTTTTGATCCTCACCTTTGCACAGAGTGTTTCTCCTCCAGGCACGTCTGCTACTGCAGTGTTGGCTACTGGAACCATAATGTACGTCTTCCTCTTGCCGAAGCCAATACGGGTTCTGTGGCGTTCTACCTCCCGCACGCGCCCCCCCGATGCCCACCCCAAAACTAAGATTAATAAATTGAGGCCAGGCCCTTCCATTTCTGGAAAAAACAGTCTTCTGTGACCGGCTCCGGTTTGAACTGATTTGCGTTTTTCTCGCTTTGCATAATCTACTCTGCATTCGTTCCTGTTTGGGGTAGTTTGTTCTGCATGTCTTTGCCTTTGTAGGAGGGCGCTCCTCAACCATTTCCAATGTATTTCAAGGTGCTGATAGAAGGCACCTTGGGGCTCACATTATTTCCTAAAAATTCTTTGGAAATTCTTCTCCAGATGAGGGCCTTCTGTTGTGTTAGAGCTGGAATCCAGGTGATGGGGAAAGGGACGCAGCTAAGCAAGGCTGGCTTAACCTGTGTGAGCTGGAAACCTCTGAAAGCCTCTGAGATGTCCTCAACGCTCCTCATCTTTGCTAGGCACCTTCTAGATGACATTCGGAAGACGCCTCGTCCCGAAGGATTACAAACTCCCTAAAAAACAAAGCAGAACAAATGTTTAGGAAGCTGGGTTTTTTCCCCCCAGTTACAAGAGTTTAGCTGGAGTTTAGCTCCTTTTAATACCAGGCGGCGAAAAACGATGGGTGATTTCGAAGAGGAACGGAGTTTCTATTATCAGGACAATAACAACGCTTTTGCTCATTTGTTTGCATGTGGATCGTTTCAGAGACGGCGTTTTTTTTTCCACGCCTCCCTGGCAGCTGCCTTATTGTCTTTGTTCTCCTTCTGATGAAGAGAAAGATCTTCTCGGCTTCCTGGTTGCCATTTTATGATGATGATGATTTCCCCCCCCTCTTTTTTCCAGGAACGTGCAAGCGCTAATGAGCTATTTTGTGAACAGCCAGCTTGAGATTAATGGACACACAGAGTGACTCCTAAGTTTTAATGTTGTCTCTGGAGCTCCTGTAATTTAAGAAGCAATAATGACCTTAAGGAAGAGGTTGTTGATTTGTCAGATGCGCCGTGGCTTTTCGCAGGGGGAAGATGAAACGCTTTAATATCCCACAATCACTCTGGGGCAGCTTTCATTTTTATTAGTTTATGACATATTGCCTAAAATTACCACCCGCTACCCCACCGTGCATCGGTACATGGGTCCAAAACGGAGCTGCGTGTGAAGAGCTCCCATTTTCACGAGGGTGGGCTGTTTCCCAGTTTTGCGGGGCAATCTGAAATTTCTTTCAAAAACCCTTTTTTGCCCCTGTTGAGGTTGGATTTTCTTTCCTCCCCGCCACTGCCCCCAGGCAAAAGAGGTTGCTTTGTAGGTTTTCCTTCAAACCTTCTTCAAGATCTTCTCTGGGGGCTGCTGGGCCTCTGTCATGTTCTGTAGCAATACTACACCGTTAGGGTTTCTGTTGGTAATGCTAGCAAAGCTGTGTCTTCAGGGCCTTCCGAAAACCAGTCGAGTTGGGACAGATCTAATAATAATCCTTCTTACTGGGGATAGAGACCCAAGTGCTAAGCCTACATACAATGGTGGAGTGACTTCTTCTCTTTTGATTTAATCTAGGGTAATTCGATCCTGGATGGGACCTCCCTCGCTATACAGGAGCGCCGGCTGCATGTCGGGGTCCACAATGGCTTGTGCTTCGTGCAGCCCCCGCAAGTGGTCGTGGTGGTCCCAGTGGCGCTGCCAGAGGCCGATAGAGCACGGGGAAGTACCGGCAGCGTGCGCCAGAAACAAGGAAGCCCTCTCAAGGGCAGGTGAGAAAAAGGGAACGGAAGCCATGGGTACACCAAGGGAATGAAGTGTGATTCTTTTCTGGAAGAAAAATATTAGCATGATTGAACCAAGGAGATGATCTTTCAGCTTGAGAGTGCAAAAAAAAAAGCCTGCTGCTTGATTACAACAGCACTCTTTTTTTTCAGTTGGGATACTGATGCCCCTCTTGAATAGCTCGAAAGGGGGCTGTTGGAGTGGATTGTGATGTCCAACGCTGTAGTATATAAAAGCAAAATTAGAAAGAAGCACGGTAGAGTGGTAACCAAATTAAGCAGCAGTGGCAGCATTACAGAGGTTTTTCTGCCAGTGTTTAACGTAAAGAGAAAGCGGATGGTCTGGGTGGGCCGTAGCAGAGGAAGAAGGCCTTTTTCCAGCCCGGTTCTGTTCCGAAGGAGGCCAGCTGGGGTGAGAAAGAACTATGCTGATTAAGGCTTAAGTAGTGGAGTAGCTCGTAATCTAACACCTTTGGAGGCCACTGGTTGGGGAAGAAGGTGCTCCATATTCATCTGGACCTCTTGGAGGTCTCCTGAAAGGCTCCAGAAATGACCATGCATATAGCATCTGAAGAGCAAGGACTTGGGAGCAGGGATGCTTCTGATGACCAGAGATTGTCTTGCTCAGCTTGGATCACCCCTCTCCAGCTAAGTTGCCTTTCCCAACCTGATTTTGGAACCCATAGGTCATTCAGCCAGAATGACCACTGAGCATCCTGGCCTGATGGTTATGGGCACTGAGGCCCAGTGGATCTGGAGGACACCAAGTTGGACAAGGGATGAAAGGTTCATTGAAATCAAACACATCTCCCACAGGTGTTGTGGTTGCGCTCAAGGGGAAATAAAGATAAAGATGCTCAGGGCCAGTTTTGAAGGTTGTGTTAGGAAGTTGCTGAACATTAATGGAGATCCATCACCCTTTTTTACTGGTTCCTTGGTGGCCTTCCAAACACAGTGCTGAGGGGCAAGCTCTTATCCTGCGAAGCCACATTCACCTGGCAGAGATGGTGCATCACCCAGCTTTTGGAGTGGTCTTCCTGTTGGAATATGTCTTCTCTGTTGCAAGTGGACCTGATGGGAAGGTAGGAGACGACATTCATCCATCCATCCATCCATCCATCCATCCATCCATCCATCCATCCATCCATCCATCCATTTATATAGCCACCTATTTTGGTTTTTTTCTACAGGTAATGCAAGGGTTGATTAAGTGGACTTCTTCGTAAGTGTACAAATATTTTTCTGAAGCTGGTATCTTCCAGTGGTGCTGGTCTTAAATTCTCATAATTCATTGGTTGCTCTGGCCAGGAATTAAGGGACTTAATGACCCAGAGGACTGGGGGATACCAGGTTGAGGGCATCTCAAGGACGTCTGATGAGATACAGACAACTGGATAAGGCAGCTTTCCATATTGAAGGGGGCTGTACAATCAATTGGATTATGCCTCTTGCTCTCTAGAATAGGCCCTAATATTTGTGACTGCACGGCAACCTTGGAAATTCCATGTTTGTGGCTCCCCCCACCTTTGGGGGGATTTGGAAGCACCCTGAAATCTTAGTTGGGCTGTCAACATTCAGCATCACATTGGGTTCTTTGAAAAAATAAGGATGGGAATGGGAGTTCAAGGCATCTGGGAGGTATTTTGAAGTTTTATTTATTAATGGGGACAGAGGAACAGTCCCGACAGAGCTCACCATCTATGCTAGAGTTCTTGGATAGCCCCTGTCCACACTACCCCCCAAGCATGTTTCCTTAATGGGACATCATTTTGCCATTTCTGTGATGGTCTCTGGATGTGCGTCGAAAAATACAAACCGAATGCAGCAGAAAGCTTTGTAATAATGAGAAAGCTCCCTGCTGTTTGCTATTATTGTGGCAGTGGGTAAGTCATTCCGTCCAGCCTGTGATTTGCAATTATAGCTGATATATGAAAGGGAGGAGCACTTTGAAGCTGCCTCTTGGAAGCGCTCCTCAGAAGAAGGTGAAGATGTATGGCCTTGAGAAAAAAAGAGCCCTGGAGATCTTCACTCCCTCCTGCGTTTGCTCTGCTGAGGCACGTGGTAGGTTGAAGTGAAGCTTCCCAAACCTTTTCATCTAGGGACTTTTTATTATTATTATTGTGGCTTGAAACGTGCTTCTGAATTGCAGTCTGGCACTTCAAATCATTGCGCCCTTTCATCACTTTTTTTTTTTTTTGGTTTGTTTTGTTCTGAAAGGAGGAATGGCCTTCGCAGATAAAATAGCCAGCCCGCCCCTTTTTCTCCCTTGCCTTTAAGCGATGCCATGAGGTTGCTGGAATTAGGGCAGGAATCCGAATCAAAGACTGAACCCCAGACCCAGAGTCCCCAGGAATGTCATAAAGCTGGCCTGGCCATAATTCCAAGATGGATAATAATCCAGGAACCCCGGTAGATGGGAAGTTGTGTTTGGAACCAAGAAGGAGAAATAGGCCTCTCGAAGCAGGAATGGATCTGAGCTATCGGCAGAATAAGAATTAGAGCAAAGAGCTGAAGCCGAAGAGCAAAACCAGAGTATCTCTTCTCCGCTCAGTTTCCACTGCGTGGAATTACTCAGCTGACCCTCCTCAAAGAGCTACAAAGTTCTGATGCTCAGGAGCAAGGAGAAGGCCCTTTCTCAGGCTGGAGGCATCTTCAAGACGGCAGATTTGTAACGGGAGAGGCGGTCCCTTGGATAAATCATTGAGGGCTTCAAAGGCCAGCATTCACATTTTCAGTTCAGTCCAGTAAGGAGCATGCCAGTCTTTTCAGTTCAGGCATCCTATGATCCTGGGATGAGTTTCCCAGCAAACTCCTGCTTTGGAGGGAGAATGGAGACGGCATCTCCCCGGGTTCAAAATCAAGATCGCTGTCTTACACTTTGATGTCTTTCCACCCAGTGGGCTAGAGACCAACCTCCCCCATCCTGACACCGAAGCCCCTGGTGCATCATCTGTGATCCTCTAATCTGGCTTGTTTGCTTTTTGGCCAATGGTCTTTTGAGAGCCGTGGTCAACGAGCTCAATGCTCTGCAGCTCTTTCAATGAAATTGGGGGAATCAGTCCATTGTCATCTCTATTGATCTCGCAGCAGATTAATTTCCCCCTTAAAATCCTGAGTCCTGCATGGCCGCCTTCGCCCGAAGAGGACTAGTTTTACGAGATAAAAGGAAGCTGGTAGCACAGGAACCATCTTGAAGGAGTCATCAGTATTCACTTTCCTCTGGATTTTGCAGTTTTGCAGTGGTGTCTTCTGTCTGTGCTAGGTTAGCTTCAGATAGATCAGTGTTTTTCAACCTTGGCCACTTTAAGATGGCATGGCTGGCTGGGGAATTTTGGGAGTTGTAGTCCCCGCATCTTAAAGTGGCCAAGGTTGAAAAACGTGGAGATAGATGAAAGCTTCCATTTTGCTGCCTTTTGCTTTAACCAGAGAGAAGCATTCAGAAATAAGGGCCTTGTATTTTTCTCTGTCAAGGCTGCCATTTCATTCTGCATGACCTGTAGACTTTTTCCCAACTTTTGGTCCAGATCATCACAGCACCGCTTTGGAAATAATTGTCTTTTCATACCCCGGCGCCCTCCAATTGGACTTGCCTTCCCGTGACCGTTGCGTTAGGAAAAGGTGAAATGTATTTCTTTTAATTTAATTTAATTTCTTTTTTTTAGGGAGGCTGAAAAAAGTTTTGCACGGGCATACCGTGATTTTGTACTTTAACTCCACCAACCTCCCTTTCGGCAGAGGTCAATTAACAAATATTTGATTGTAGCTCAGGGCTCAAGCAGGCAGCCTTTCCGCGAGGCACACAGCGAGGCAGCCTAAATAAAGCCAAAGTCCAGCCTGGCATGCTTTTTACTTATTTTGAGGAAGCTGGGAGCCTTAATCAGCCTCTGCTGTCCTTTTCATTAATGGAATTATCCCTCCCCATCCCCCTGTGCTTCAGCACCACGGGTTTGCACGGGCGACCGTGCTTGGCTCATTGAGTCAGTATTAGCTCTGATTAGGAGTGCAATGCTTCCTGCCTGGGTGTGAGAAGGTTCCACTTCTTGCAAAGTGGAAAGTTGCTGGCCGAGTCCCTGACACCTTAGAAAAGCATTTGCCCCTGGGGAGCCCTGCTGATCGTCTGAAAGGACATTTTTATGCACCCTGGTTCTGGCGGGTCTTGGATAAGGATATTATGCAGCTATGCTTTTATCTGTGTTTCCGCCTAAGCCTTTCAGCGTCCATCTGCTTCTCCATACAGCGATCCTGTGAGGCTAGACTGAGGCTTCATGCCCAAAGCATCAGGCTTGGGGAGAAATGGAGGTGCCTAATCCAGAACAAATGTCTCCATTGCCCTAGCGCCCTTCTTCTCCCCAGCCCACAAGTCTCAAGCTCTGCCAGAAATCTTGCAAGGAGTATAGGAGTGATGTTGTAAATAAAGAAAAAAACAGGCAAAGACTACAGTAGGGGCAGGCAACTGGCTGCCCCTTTGCTTACTTCAGCCTTGGGCCCTGGCAGCCTAGGGATTGTGGGATTTGTAGTTCAGGGCATTGGAGAAGCACCACGTTTCCTACCCGGTTTGGACTCTGCCCCCATTCCTAAAAACTAAACGATGTCAGGAGCTGCCCAGGATCTTGGTCAAAGCAGCGATTGATCTCGTCCAGCTTTCTAGCAACCCTCTGCCAGTTGAGGGTTGAGTCATATGTGTGGAATCCATCCTTCTGTTCTGGAATTGCTCTCTGCTGGGTTTTAGCCATAGACCTAGAAATCTGTTTTCCTTTTTTAAAAACAGCAACTCAGAAAGCCTCCACTCAAAGTGTACCTGGTGTAGCAAGTTAAAGCAGGGGGACACCCACCCGCTCCTCCCGGATAAACCTCCAGCTTGGCGTGCAGAGGAGTCCTGGTTAATCCCCAGCTTCTGAAGTGGCCCTGATTTGAGACCAGAACTTTGTGGATCACACTAGCCCAATCTCTCCAGCTCGAGGAAGACCCCTTGATCAACCGGCTCCAAATTTACCAAACAGAGGCAGCCTCTTGCCTGCGTTTGACTTGCTTGCCGACAACAACATTACGGGGGGACCTCATTCAAAAGCCATGCTGAAGTCAAGGTAGATAATGTGCTCCAGACCTACAAAGCAGTAATTCTATTAAAGGGACTAGCTGGAAATTGAATCTGGCTTGAGAAGCCCAGCCTGGCTCTTTGGAGCCATGGTTTCGAAATGCTTGCATCTTCTGTAGATTATTGGTGTGAAATGGACTGGTCAATGGTGGACTGGATCATTTACCCTGGTTTTTGCTTTGGGTTGTGTGCAGTTTTACCTCCCTGTCATTTCATGTCTTCTTTGAGAGTTCTCAAACATTGGACAAAGGTCTCTGGAATTCCAAGTCATTTTAATTGCCCACAAATATTTAATTCACAGAGGTGAGCTAAGGGTTCCCCTAACTCCAGTAGCTCTCTCCATCTCTCTCTCTCGTCACAATGGCTGCAGTTTTTCTTGTGCAAAGCCGCAGTACGAAGGGGTTGAACCGCAGTCTCTTCGGTATCTTCTGCTAATATTTCCCCATCTTCTCCATGCAGCAATGACTTCCGACGTCTTTCTTCTTTCTCCTCTTTAAATATTTCTCAAGAGCCTGAATTTACTTTGAATTGTAGCCTTCTTGACACTCTCCCTGCAGGCCTCGTCCATGGCTTTGTATTTGTCTCATTTCTGATTCAAGCCCGTGTTAAATGTATGCTCAGCAGAAGATAATGAAAAATGTGGTGATGGCCACCAGTTGAGAAGATTTTAGGAGAGGACTGAATAGATTAACGGAAGAACAATGGGGCTTTCAGCGGTTACTGCTCTTGATGGCTCTTGACTGTGTCCTCGGTCACAGATCCGGCACAGCTGCTAGGGAGAAGGACCTATGATACTTCTGCCCATGGTTGTGAGTTTCTGAAATGCATGGTGTGATTTGACTGATGATGCACCATCAAGTTGCTGTTGGCTCTTGGTGACCACATAAGATAAGATAGATCAGTGATTCTCAACCTTTTTGAAGTTGCCACCCCACTAAGGAGCGGAAAATTTTTCAACCTTGTGAAA